ATTAGATTGTGACGTACACACACACACACACACACACACACACTCACAAACTCATCGGCTGTCCTTATGCACGGGTTTCTGCTTCTCTGCTGACGGTGGGTCGGGCTGCGTGAATGGGATGTCTTCTTCCTTCGAGGGACAACGAGATATTCAAGGTGCATTATACACACAAACCCACAACGAATAATTGTGCTGCTGCTGCACCATCGGGGTCTCGTGGCAGGCATCTCCAAGCGGGTCCTGCAAAAAAAATCGTTTCAGTATATATGATGAAGCATGCATCGAAAGATGTGTGTCCTGGAAAGGAGGCACTGCCGGATAGGCCTTCGGGTCCACTACCTGTCATGTCTTAGCAGTTGCAACACGTACAATGCGAAAAGACCCTCAATGACAGAACAATCCAGCACATACTCGATCAAATACCCGACTAACACATCCTCGCCTCGATCTCCTGCTGGCCGCCTTCCTCGGTCGGATCCTCCACCATGGCCTGCGAATCCTCTACCGAGGCCTCTTGGCCCCCTTCCTCGGTCGGATCCTCCACCATGGCCTCCCCATCCTTGGCCGAATCCTCTACTGAGCCCTCTTGGCCCCCTTCCTCGGTCGGATCATCTACCATGGCCTCCCCATCCTCGGCCGAATCCTCTACTGGGGCCGCTTGGCCCCCATCCACGGCCGAAGCATCCACAGCAGTTGCAGCCGGCGCTTCGAGAGCAGCGAGGATGTCCTTGAGTGTTTGTATCTTCGGCGACCTCACCAAACGAATCAAACCGGGCAGGACCACACACACACTCATATAAACACATGTATAGACCATGCATATATGTGCCGAAAAGAATCTTCGACCGGTCCGGCGTTTTCCGGTAGAGCCGGATCAAGTAGATCACACGGGCCCGCAAAGTCCCGGCGTGATAGTCCACCCACATCTGCAAGCCAGCTGCACAAGAAAATCTTCTTCCGGTCAATCAGCCGGCCTGCGTCTCCTTCTTCAGCACATCTTTCCCCATAATATCGTGTTCCTCCAGAACCCATTCAAAAGCTGCCTGGGCTGTGCATGCTATAGCTACAGGTTAAACACCTCTATCGGGTCCGAAACACTCTAGAGCAGAACAAGATACCTTGTATTTTGCCATATTTGGCTGAGTGCATCCAAAGGAAGCAAGAAGCCCGGCGATCACATCGAAAGCCGCTTCCACAGCAGCATCTGAAATGAATTGGAAGGGCTCGAAGAACTCATGCCCCTCAGATGCTGATTAAAAGAGAAAACACATTGCATGTGTCTGTGTGTGGATGTACATCTACACTCCTGTTGCTGGCCAATCGCTTCCTTTCGCCTGGCTTCTCCAGCACGTGTGTGCTTCTTTCCTTCAGGCTTGGTTCGAACAAAGTCGTCCAAGATATCCTTGAGCAACATCAACCTCGAGGCTCGAGGCTTCACGATCAAATTTATAAAGCAGATTGACACATGGGATCTTGCTAGAGTACCAGTTGAGCAACTCCTCATCCTGAAGATTAGGAGTCTCTCCTAACTCATCATCAGCAGCTGCTACCACAGCACCCGAGTTCGCAGAAGCCGCCATGCCGAAACCCCTTCCGGGCTCCGATCTGCTAAAAAATGCTGCTTTAAACACAGCAAGACATGACCAACTTTCAACAGTTGAATATGCACACAGATGCATGCTGCACACATGACTGATCACATAGCAGTCGCATATGCACACAGCTGCATGCACACAATGCAAGGAAGCAGGGCGGGGGTGCACTCTTGCGTTTCCGGTCCCGTAATCTGCTCCGGGATAACAGCAGGGCTCGCTGCATTGCAAGCGAACGATCTCATGGCGACGATTGCCATACTACTAGTGTACTGCATATGACATGAGAGCGGCACAGCCATGTGTCCTGGGCTGTAGGGTCTGAAGTTAAGGATCTTACAGGGGATCTCGGAGTCGCCATCGGCCTTATGGATAAGGATCTCAGGGTTCAGAGGCCTAGAAAGATGAGGATAATCTTCGGATTCTTTCCAGTTCTGTGGTTTAGGGTTTAGGGTGACTTTCGGTTTAAGGGCCCACCGACCGAGAGCTGTTGGGCCTCGATTCCTGTGTTGCAGCACGAAAGAAGCGGTTTCACGTGTATATATGTATGTATATATATATATAGCTATATATGTATATACATGAATATATATATATATATATATATATATATATATATATATATATATATATATATATATATATATATATATATATATATATATATATATATATATAGCTATATAGCTAATATATATATATATATATATATATATATATAGCTATATATATATATATATTATAGTAATATATTTAATATATATATATATATATATATATATATATATAATAATATTAGTGTTAACAAAGGTTAGGGCACCAGTTCCTGGAACTGGCCCCGTTTGCCTGGTAACTGCGCTCGGAGGTTACCAGGACAGTTCATCATATATCGGTCACCGGCCGCCTAGGGTTAACTATTATTAAGGTTCTATTGGGGAAACCCTCGCTCCTACTATCTTACTAGTCCTGCTATGATGATGACTCTTCTTGTACTACTACTACTACTACTGCTACTACTGCTGCTGCTGCTGCTGCTACTACTACTACTACTACTACTACCACTACCACTACCACTACCACTACCACTACCACTACTACTACTACTACTACTACTACTACTACTACTACTGCTGCTGCTGCTGCTACTACTACTAGTACTACTAGTACTACTACTACTACTACTACTACTACTACTACTACTACTACTACTACTACTACTACAAGTATTGTTTTTTACGGGCCAATGAGGGAACCTGATCTTCAGAGCCACCTAGTCAAGCCAATTCCCCACCAAAGAAACACCTATAAAACCCGGTGCAAACCCATATCCTCTGGTTTAGGGCTATGAATATACAAAGGCCGTTTGCAACACCCCGATGCTAGACTTTGCTTCACCGAAACCCTAAACCCCAAACCCTGAAACCCTACACCCTAAAGCCTATAAAATCAAGAGCAGCTTCTGGCCGCCAGGCTGCTGAGATAGCACCCTTCGTGAGCTGCCAGATCCCGAGAATTATAGTAACCTTAGAAATTATTTGTAAAATCCGAGAAAATATCATAATTGCTTTTATTATGTTTCTAAGGGGGGTTTAGTTCTGGTGGTGCAATAAGGCGGGCTCATAGGGTGCTCTGGGTGTAGGGTTTAGGGTTGTGCGTTTCTCGGGTTTCAAAGGGCGTTCTGGTGTTGTTCTCCGTTTTGGCAGATGCTTCCTCAGGGGTGCCGAAAAGGCTTAATGAAGCATGCAGTGTTTCTCATGAGTGTCTTTTCTGGTTCTACAGTGCCGGGATTGGGGGTGTGGAGTTTGGAGTTGGGGGATTGGGTTCAGGGTTCAGGGCGTTGTTCGGGGGTTTGGGGGTTCAGAGTCTAGGGTTTTGGAGAGTAGAGTTTCGGGCTTAGCCTCAAAAGGTACAGGGTAAGTAGTCCTCAACCCAGACCTGAATAGACCTTACACTATAGCAGGACCCTTAGTATGGTTTAAGGTAATTAAGGGGATTTTTGGAAGGTTTGGGGAACTCCCCCCTTCCCGAACACGTACTGCAGGATGCAGCCCGAAACAGGGTTTAGGGTTTAGTCCGATTCTCCAGGCCTGATTTGGCTTGGAATCCTAGTCACAAGGGGGATCTGATCAGTCTCGCCACTCTTGATGGAAATTCTGCCGGCGGTCAATTTGGTAACATTCCCCCCCCGCCTCTACTCCCGTTAAACGCCATCGTCACTACACTGCAAAATCCCGAAGCCCCTGTTTGACGTCCGGAGTGCCAAGGCGGCGACAAGGATCGAAATTTCTTGGTGACTGCAGGGAGCTAAGAAGCTAAGATTTAGGGTCTGAGGGTTAAGGCTTCGGGGTTTGGGGGGGCTTAGTGGCCAGGGACTACACTCTTCGGGTAGTATAAGGCTGAATAGTCAGCAATGTTCGTCCGTAAAGTTCCCTACAAGGCCCCACAACACCCTCCAAGGCTTGCTGGTTCAGCATTGGGAGTGGGGTTTATGGTCTTTGGCTGCTTCTGGTACTTTTGGTGTCTTCGCGGCAGTTGGCGCTATTCTGCTAGCATCACAGCGAAGGAGCAAGTCCACCTAGCACCTGGATCAGAAGGAGTCTTGATAGGGTGTTTAGGGTTGCGGGTCTGGCTTCGGGCTTTACCGTAAGGGTCCAAATCTTCACGCCCAGCGCCCACGTGTCACTTCTATGCTTTCACCTCGGCCGCCTCCCAAGGGAACATGTGTTCACTCCACTCAGGTGTGCCCGGCGCAAACCAAGAACGTCTTCTTGGACAAGAAGTCGAACTTGCCTCAGTGTGTAAATTAGGGGCCTTTATCATTACCTATACTATTTTGGTGGTTCCTTATTATAGCTATATTTTCGTACACCCCCAACCTATTCCGATTATTGAGGCCCCTCAGAGTGTATCTTTCCTTACACAGGAGGCTCAAGAGCAGCAGAATTCAACAGATTGAGCTCCGTACCATGACTACAGTCTTCTTCGGAATTATATTTTTCATTTCTGTTCATAAAGAACCCAAGAGAATATTACACATCATATTTTGAATATGGTTTGATTGTGGTTCTAAAGGGGGGTATAGATGACCACTCTTGATTGCCCTGTCACAGTATAGTTCACACGGCCCTATACTTTTCAATCCGTTTCTAGTGAAATATCAGGGCACCGATAGTAACCTTTCTCGATACTCTATGCAGTTCCCAAACCCTGAACCTAAAGAGGCTTCATCTGCCGTGGTATAGCTTGCCTGAGCCCTAAACCCACAACCCGCCATAGCCCTAGATCCTACCGCAACATAATCAGCACAGCGATGCTTGTATCTGCCGCGAGATGATTTTCGGTGTAGGCCCTAAACCCACAATCCTCCATGCCAGACGCAAAAAATAAATAGTGCGTCGGCAAGCCCTCATGGTCCTGAGCTCTGAATCGCTGCCAAGGAACGGCGATTTTCCCTTATGGTTCATCGGAGATCAGCTCTATGCAGCTGCGGTGCGACAGGGTTGAAGTGCCGGTTTTCAGGGTTTAGGAGTTTAATTCAGGGATTCAGGGTTTTAGGGTTCCCGAACTATGTCGCTAGGGTTTAGGGTTTCGGGTTTAGGGCCCATAGCAAACCACGAATCGGCCCAGGTCCCTATTGCAGTTGCTACGCCTCCGGTTGACTGCTCAGTGTTCCCAATCCTCGGCTTATCAGAAGAAGAAGTGTGAGCAACTCAGAACCAAGGAACCTCAACTCTAAACCCTTAAGCCTGAACCCTAAACTCTAGGCCCCAAGCCCTAAACGGTTTGAACCCACCCCCCTTGTCTTTTGCCAGGAAGAGATCTCGTTGGTCGATGCGGCCAAGCGCAGCACCGAGCATTTTCCACTGGTCTTCGAAACTCTTTGTAACATACCTAGACCCTCCATCTACCCTCTATTAGAGCCTGAATGCCCCTTATTTGGGACCATATACCCCTATTTGAGGGCACAAGGAGGGTCCTGGTAGTGTGGTATAGGATCTTGGGATTTATGGGGTTTATTATAGGGCTTTCTAGGGATGTAGTGGGCTTAGGAGCATTTTTCCATTGGCCTGCTCTTTGTAACGTAAAAGGTGTATGTAGGGAGTTATGGGGGTTTATAAGGGTTTCTATGGATTGGGAGGGCTTCGGGCTGACTAGGGTCTTGTCAGGGTGGTCTTGAATGGGAGTTTTGGTGGTTTGATAATATGTGGTTTTGCAGGACTGTACAAAGGTTGTTTTAGGGTGCGCTAAGGCTTTCTGTTGTTGTAGGGTTCTCTAAAGCTTTCTTAGGGCTCCAGGGTTTTTGTACTGGTTTCACGGTTTCTTTACAGCGTCTCTTCATGGTCTTGCAAGGGTATTGGGCGAAAAATTGTCTGCTTTTAGGGTTTGTTGGGGTTGCAGGGCTGTTTCGGGGTTTCGGAGCTTCACATTTGCAATGTCATTGCATCTCCCGGTAATGTTCAAGCAATGTTAACACGGAGTACGGTACCGAACAAGGACCAGGTTGACTTGGGCCACTGCGCTTGTGCTCGCAGAGCGATAGCTGATATCTGCAGCCGTCATGAGGCCGCAGTACGTTCCTGAGCGGAACCCTTTCCCCGAACCCTGGACTGCATAAACCCTGAACCCGAAAGCCGAAGCCGTAAACCCAGCCTTGAAACCCGAAAACCTTAAGCCTCAACCCTGGAACCCCCAACCCCCGAAACCCTCGACCTCCCAAACCCTGAATCCCAAGCCGCTGAACTCTAAATCCTTGGGCCCCTACACCTCGAATCCTAAGCCCCCAAACTACTGGTATCTGCTGCATTTCCCCACGCACACCCGAACCGGGGCACAGTTATAAAAGGACCCTGAAAGGGACCCTAATTGAGAGAACTGCCTACATCCCTACAATCATCCCAATGTATAATCCCCGAAAAAAGCACCCATAATCCATTCCCCCATTTCCTACTAAGAACCAGACAGCCTACTAAGAACCCTAAACCCCTATAGTATAACCCTGATAGTAACCCTTAAAGGAACCCCATTCCCTACTAAGAGCCAGACCCTTATAGTACCCTTATAGACACTTAGAAACCCCTTTAGATTTTCTCTAAGGAACCCGGTAAAGGGAACCTAACTTCCCCCATTCCACTAAATAGGATCCCTTATAGGATTCCTTTAAAAAGTTCCCTAAACCCCCTTTAAAGGGAACCCATTCCCTACTAAGAACCAGACAGATGAGGCTGACGGACTTCCAAGAGTTCCCGCTCTCAGCGCTGCGCAAAGAGATCCTCGGTTCTCGGAGGGGGGTTGGGGGTTTATAGGGTTTTGGAGGGTTCAGGGTTTAGGGTTGAGGGTTTAAAGTTTAGGGTTTAGGGTTTAAGGTTGCGGGTTTATAGGGTTTTAGAGGGTTCAGGGTTTAGGGCTTAGGGTTTAGGGTTTAAAGTGTAGGGTTTAAGGTTTAAGGTTTAGGGTTTATAGGGTTTTAGAGGGTTCGGGGTTTAGGGCTTAGGGTTTAAGGTTTAGGGTTTAGGGTTTAAGGTTTAGGGTTTAAGGTTTAAGGTTTTGGGTTCAGGGTTTAGGGTTTAGGGTTTATAGGGTTTTAGAGGGCTCAGGGTTTGGAGTTGAGGGTGCTATAGGGTGTAGGGTTCAGGGTTTAGCCTTTAGGGTATGTTAGGTTTAGGGTTTAGAGTTTGGTATTTTGAGGTTTAGGGATGGTTGGGGGATGGCGGACCTAAGGGGTATCATGACATGAGTAGTTTTTGGTGTGACAGAGGCCTTGGTGATGAGCGGTTTTGCTCCTCATGGCTACCGCAGCTGTTTTTAGTATCGAGAGTCTGGTGTTAGCATATACTGTCTGTAGGGCATTAAGGGTTAAGGGTTCCGGGCACTTCGGGTACTTTGACTAGGGTACCTAGGATTCAAGGTGTCGCGCTTGGCTTTCAAACGTTCGGTTTGGGGTTTATACTATACCGAAACTACCATAGCCTGCACTGTTGTAGGGTCCTACGGTTGATGATCTAAATCCTGCATTACCTTAATGACCTTAAAACTATGTCAAACATGGTCTATTCCTGACTTTGGGTAATGAAGGATTTATATCATCAGCCGTATTATAAACCCCTAACATGGGAGTTTCCGAAAATCGGGGACCCTATCATAGTGCCCGAAATAGTAGCATCCCTATTATAAGGACCCCAAAATAAGGTGCCCTTTTCTTTCGGAAACTCTAAACCCTCACAGAGCCCTTCAAAGGAACCCTTATAGTACCCCGTTAAAGGAACCCTAAGCCCCATAAAAAGATATAGTACCCTACATAGAATTGAGAGGAAGCCCTTACCAAAAAGTCGGTTGGGACCCAGAGGCTCCCCGGGAGGTCAGGTCTTTGTTTAGTTTAGGTTTCTTCTGGTTGGCTCTTTAGACTTTAACTTTTTGGGGTTTCTGTATGATTTATTTGGAGGAGGCTAAAAGTTTAACTTTTAGGAGGGGTTCAGAAGTCAGCCAAGTTTGGTTTAGGGTTCAGGGTTAAAGGTTTGGGACTTAAGATTTAGGGTCTAGACGGTTTAGAGTTTAGGGTTTTTTAGTTTGGGGGTTAAGGTTTAAGGTCTAGAATCTAGGGTTTAGGGTCTAGAACGAAGACTTCCTCAAGCATGGACACAACTCCCATCTAAGGATTTGGTAGAGCTAAGTATCCCATCGAAAGCAAAGCTCTTATACCTGAGAAGGCAGATATCCAAAAGCCGGCAGAACCCATAAACCTTCAGAAGGAAGTAACCTTAAGCTTCACCCCTAAATCCCAAACCTCTCTAACCCTATAGATCCTCAACCCTAAACCCTTAATTTAACCCTAAATCCTACCGTATGGGTTTGCATGCGCCGAGGACCGACTTCGAGGGAACCAGGTATATCTGGATGTGACCGGTTCACTGAGCTGCAAGAGCGCAAGACCCGCTGGAGACAAGACAGCAAAAACCTGGGTTTATGCGGGAGTTTTAGGGGCTTGGGATTTGTGGGTATTCGGGCTGTAGGGGTGAGGGTCTTTGGGTCTCAGATTGTATAGTTTACGGCATGTTTAGGGTTGTGGGTTGGGGTTTCGGGATAGTGGAACACCAGAGCATGTTGGTAGTTCTCTAAATAATTAGGGGACCCTTGTTGGGCCCCAACATAGTACCGCATCGTGTTAAAAGGGACCCGAACAGCACGGACCCTTATGTAGAGGGCGACGGAATCCCACGCGAAAAGGGGCCTGGTTTGACTACTTAGACCAAGTCTTTAAGTTCCTGACATTCCCCTTATAGGTTCCGGTAAACGCTGAATGTTTTGGGGGGTTGTTATGATGCAGCAGTACATCCCTAACCCTAAACCCTGGATTAAACCCTGAACCCCTAACCGTGAACTTCTGTATGCACAAGATCTTCTTTCGTGTCTTGTTGCTGCGCAGCTCGGCATGTCGAATCAAACAGCAGTTCGAGCCATTCGCGGGACCCGTTCTATACTCCTCCCAAGACTTCAAAACCCACGAACTATTGTCTTTCCCGAACACTAAACCCTAAACCCTAAACCCAAAATCAGCTGAAGAAACAAAATCATAAACCCTTGGAAGTCCCCCCCCCCCCCCCCCAAAAAAAAAAGTTCGACAAATCTCAATCCCCCGCCTGTGCAGGGCAATGTGCAAGGGATGAACTTCTGAGCCTGCGAGGCCGGGGCAGCTTTCTGTGGTTTCCTTGGATCCCTTAATTAAGGAGTATACCGGTTTAGGGTTCCTTTACCGGGATCCTTGAAGGGATCTGTAGGGTTTAGGGTTTAGGGGATTCTAATATCCCTTAGTTAAGGAGTATTCCTTAAATCATCTTAGGGATCCTTGCGGGTTCAGGCTTTGGGGTTTAGGGAGTGGAGGGAGTCTTGAGGGGCTCGACAGTGCCCAAGGGTTAATATATTTGATGTTACATCTTACATATTGTATATTATATGTTGTATATTATGAGACTATCATTCGGGATTGGTTGGCGTTTCAAGATGGTGGCTTCGAAATTACGGGTCCGTTCGAGGGGAGCACTCTTGCGGCAATTTCGGCTGGAAGGACAGGGCCGTTGGGGCCCGTCAGCTGTCCACTCGCGTAAAGTTGGACGGACATTGGCATAAGCACTTTAACAGCAACAGGATATCCCTTACTTGTTGGGCTTAATTGTAAAGAGGGGGTATACAGTAGAAGCCAGAAAGTTGGATTATCATTATCCTAACCCCTTTAAGGTAAATTATAGGGGATCCTACCATTAATCCATATTCCAACTTTCTGGCTTTTACTTTATATGGGATATCCCTATCCTACGGTTTGCTTCTGTGCTTTTTTGGGGGGGGTGCACGTTCCGGAACCTTCTTCTCTCGCCTTTGAGCTCGCCAGGTCTATGCCGACGAAGGAGCGGCGACGTACGTCTCACTTTGTGGAAGTTGCCCAGAGGCCCCAAAGTAGTTCCTTTTTGGGGGTTCATATATAGAATCCTATAGGGTATTCTCAAAAAGGAACTACTTCGGGGCCTATGGGTGGTGCCAAGAGATCGCATGTCACAACTGATGCAGTGACACACAAGAAAATATTTTGGGTTTGATTGAGAGAAAAGGAAGGGGTGTTCTTGCGCAATGACTAATGTTCCGAAGCTCCCATGATATCGGGTACCCTGATGCATCGGACTTTAGCGGTCTCGTCGCACCTAACCGCTAAAAGCGGTCTGCTGAACATGCACGCGAAAAGGAGAGAGCTGTCATAACTGCGCCAACACATCAATATTGAGTCAACCCTGAACCCTGAACCTAAACCCTCAACCCCAAGCTCTAAGCCCTAAATCCCAAGCCCTAGACCCTAAACCTGAACATGCAAGACCAGCCAAGCGGTTTGTCCTTCACTGCTGAAGCTTGCAAGAGCTGGCTCCAGTTGCGAGAATTATGCCACGAAAGACGAAGTGTTTAGGCTGTAGGCTTGAGGGTGTGATCTGTGTCACGTATTATATCAGCGACTTGCTGTTAAACCTTGAATCCTAAACTCGAAAATCTAAACCCTACTGTTGCGTGTTTCGCTCACTCGATCTCTGGGTCGGCACGATGATCGCCAAGCCCGCGCCAATATCAGCAAGGACGTGAGCACCGGGGCCTAATGTAGAAGCCTGCATTACTACCGATACTATTCGTCAGGTTTTCTGTTTGGAGGTTTTTTGTGCATGTATCCCAAAACCCCTAACGTGTAATCAGAGGCATCATGGAACGATCCTCCTCCTACATCTGCCCCCGCCTTGATTTAGTGGAGATGCCCTGAACCGCTGGACAGCTTACGCGTCCAGTCGTGCTTCCCGTTTGCGGATTAGGGCCAAGAGTTCGTTTAGTGCTTGGCAAGGCACTCCGGCCTGTAATTTCCCAATATGGTTTCAATACGGTTTGAATCGATTTGTAGATACGGTTGTAAAAGTCCGATACGGTTTCCAATACGGTTTTAGTGCACATTCGGATACGGGTTTGAATACGGGTTCCCCTAATCATTAGGGGCCATGGATTCCTCGAAGTTCCTGTCATAGGTTTTGTACGCTCGCAAGTTTTTGCAGCTTCCCTCACATGGCACAGTGACGCGACTTTGCTGCTTGTCTTGCAGCGTGGTGTGTCCAGCAGGTTTTATGTTTAGATAAGAACAATCAAGAAGCTGGTTTCGCTTCCCTAAAGCCTCAACCCTAAACCGAAAACATTTCCCGAGATTCTTTTCCCAGGACCATTCGGCTCAGTGCCTGGATCGTGCAGCAGCGCATTGTCGGCGCGCCGGCGACTTTCCGATGCTCGACCTGCCAAGCTAAGCCTCAAGGAGAGCGCATGTCGTGATTCTGACTGCTGTGGTTAGTTCTTGAAATGTATGATATGTACAATACATACACATATATGTATACACACAGCCTATAAGTATATAATAAAAATTATACATATATATATATATATAGATGTATGTGTGTGTGTGACCATTTGTCGTGTTTCTCCCAGTGCATAAGGGCCTAGGCACCCTTAACTCAGAAGCTTCTTCCGAATGAAGGGTTGTGTTTGTGTGTTCTCCGAGGTTTTCACAAGGACTCAGTCAAGCCTTCACAGTTAGGTTAAAGGTACTGTGGATGGACAAAATCCAGCATGACCCTAAGGACTCGAAACTGTGGGAACTATGGTATATTCCTTATAATGGGTAATGCAGGATTTTGTCCATCAGCAGTTCGTCGTCACCGTGGTGGTGGTGGTGGTGGTGGTGGTGGTGGTGGTGGTGGTGGTGGTGGTGGTGGTGGTGGTGGTGGTGGTACATTACGAGGAGGAGGAGGAGGAACAGCTGTAGCAGTGGGGGTAGCACAGCAGTCGCAGTGGCTGCGGCACTACTAGCGAAACAATAAGTAGGAGCTTTAAACCTAACCCTGAACCCGTAAAGTTTTTAAACCTTCCATTTCATGACCCCAAACTTCAATCCTTAAACTCCTAAACCCCCAACTACCCTTTACTACACCTTAAATACCCACTATTAAGCACCACCAGAAGGGCTCCTTTTTAAAGGGCACCTTTGGGGTCCTGGTAAACGTGATACACTAAACCCTAGAGGCCCCAGTCCCTAAAACCCTAAAGCCTAAATCCTAAAATCTAAGCCCTCAACCCTACTTGGAGGATCATGGGACTTAGTAAGTCAGGTTATAAGTACCTTAAGTGGGCTTATAAGTGCTTTTAAGTATAGTTATCTCATTTATAACCCCAGTTACTAAGTCCCATGACCCTTTAAGTAAGGCCCTCACAAGCCCTAAACCCTCAAGCCTCAACCCTCTTATAGAAGCCTTATAGATCCATTTCAAGGAACCCTTATGGATCCCTTTAAAGGGAACCCCTGCGTCCTGCCTCAGAACAAGGCTCTTCCCAAGCCCTTGGCCTTCGCACGGTCGGTTAGCGCCTTCGCATGCGGTCCCTTGAGCTGACAGCCCATTGAAGGGGCTTTAGGGCTTGTAGGGTTTAGGGCTCACGGTGTAAAGGTATCTAGGAAAGGTTCCTAGAAGGGTTTAGTGCTTAATTAGCACTTTAAGAGTTTTCGGTTACAGGTTTCTCATGTGGGTTACTTGCGGGTTGGATTTTGTGATTGTGGGGATTTTGGAATTAAGGGGCTTCGAGGCGTGCTGTTTCAGGGTTTATGGAAGGTTGAAGGCGGGCGGGGGGAATCCGCGACATGTGTCCTGGGGCTCCCTCATCCTACCTATGTACCTCCATCACTTTTGAATTGAGGCCCTGCAGGTTTAAGTGTCAGGGAGGGGTTCTTTGGCTTTTCATTTTCGGAGTTAAGGGAACACGGCTTACTGGTTTCGCCGGGTTTAGGGAAAAGGGCTGGAGCTGCAGGAGAACAGTTTATAGGGCCGGGAAAGGCTCTACTTGGAAGTTCATGGGTAGTTATAAGTGGGGTTTTAAGTCCTGTAATACTGCTGATGGACAAAATCCGGCATTACCCATTATAAGGAATATACCACAATTCCCACAGTTTAGAGTCCTTAGGGTCATGCAGGATTCTGTCCATCAACAGTATGGCTTATGACTCAAGCTATCCTGGTTATAGTACAGGGAGGGCTTTCTCAAGGATTCTACAGCTTGGCTTGGGGGTTTGGTGTGGGAAGGTGAAAAAGAGGGTGTTATTCTGAGGCATTACGATAAGGTTATCATTCTATACCCTACACTTCCTAAATCCTAATAAGGCCGCTAGGAAAGTAATTTGAGAGGCTACTGCGAAGAAAGGGCTCCACAGTGGGGTCGCAGCTTTGGAAAGTGCTACGAGTTGGGGGAGTTTGGAGTTTATCAGAAACCCTAAATGACTTGCCCCTGGCCCCTAAACCCTGGCACATGGGATTAGGGATTTCAAACTCAGAATGATAGCGAAG